TACTTGGAATACTACTCAGGAAATATTCACTCCTTGCTTTCTTATTCCTATTGGCTAACTTCTTGCCTTGTAGTTGTAATCTGATTACACCTAGCAGTACAATGCTCCGGTATATCTAGGCTTTAGAAATAACACAAATCAGAACGTTTAGAGTGTTGTTTGACAGTTTCAAGTTGCAGGAATTTAAAGCAAACGCCAAGAAAAGCTAAGAAAATTTAATGCGATACTTAAGCACTAATTCTAGAAGTAACTTTGCAGGGAACCTTTACACTATTTTACTATAAAATGCCTAATGAAAGTTTGTTTCTTTCAAATTGGTCAAAAACATTATTTAAAAACCTTAATACTTAATACACTATTAAGATCTGGTTTTAAAATTAACCTATGTTTTTATAAAGTTAACTTAACACCACGTTAGTAATTATTTTGGAAAATAAGAAATGTTCTTTAAGAATGTTTAGAAATACAATGTCCAGAATTGTTCAAAATCCACACAAAGGTAAATACAGCCTTTGCCATTTCGATGAAGAGAAAGGATGGGAAGCAGACAGAAACGAAGGCTTTGTTTACACTAACCAGGTAGAAATAGAAATAAAATCTTAAAAAATTGGGTGCAGATGAACAAAAACCTTGGCATCGGCAATTGTACTCCTCTCCTCCTCAGGTAACAGGGGGAAAACCACCAGGTCAGGAGTAACAATGTCTAAACCTCTTCACTGAATTAGAGGCAGGACTTCCAGTCGATACCAGGGTTAAACTGACTCTCCATAGGCGCCGAGTTCAACACTCCGGGAACATTGCCCTTTCCTAGAATAACTGATTTCTTAACATGGGAATCTGAACTATTTTCACACGCAAACGCAAAGTCGCTCAAATTTTAGCAAAGAGAAAACGCCCTCTTTACATTTCCCGTTTCACCTGGCGCAAAGAGCCCCCAACACGGTCTTCCTTTAAAAGGAGGTCGCGAAAGACAAGATTTTCGAACAGCCCCTCTTGTCAGGAAAGCACGAGAAAATCCGGCATCAAACGCAGTCTGCTCCGCACTTGCCACAGTCCTGGAGGACGGTAGAGGGAACACCGCTACCCACCCCAGAGGAGAAAGAAAAGTTGCTCCAAGCCCAAGACCAGCAGCACTCGCCACAAACTTTCCAGCGGCAGCACGAGCGCCGTCACGTACCCGCGGCAGAAGTCATGATTCCCTCAGGCAGCTCGCTTCCCCGCTCGCCCCACTCACTCCATCGTTTCAAGAGCTTGGGCAGAAGAGAAAAGCCCTCGCAGAACCCACATTCCGTCCAGCAGCACCGCGGCGCAAACCGAGAGCCGCACAAAGGATGCGGCCGGCTCCTGGGACCCGCGGCGCTCCCGGGCGCGAGCCGCAGGCGGCGGGCAGGCGGGCACGAGCACCGCCCAGCGTTGCTCCGGGCAGACGGCCAGGCGCGGGCACGAGCAGTGTTCACCGCGGCTCCGCCAACGCGCGCTCCTCTCGAGCGCTAAAAAAAAAAAAAAAAAAAAAAAAAATCAGTGCTCCAGGCGCCCCCTGTCAGTCGCGGCCGTAAAAGGCGGACAAAAGCCCCAATCTCCTCCAATCAGAGGGCCCGAGCTTCATCCTGCTCCCGCACTTCCCGCCCACAAGCTCGCGATCAGCTCCAATGAGAGGGCCTAAGGGGAGAGGGACCGTGACCTGCAAGGCATTCTGGGAATTGTAGTTTTCTGGGCACAGGGGACGGGCAAAAGCAAACGCCTGGGTACCGCCTGTTCTCCCGCCTTCATTTCCCATCGTGCTGAGGCGGGTGGCATGGCGGAGAAGGATGACACCGGATTTTGACGAAGAGGTGGTTTTTGAGGTAAGGGGAAAATGGCGCTGGATGTGAATTGCCTTTGTTTGAGAAACACGAGGGAGAAGGCGAGGAGGCAAGGCCAGGGGCCGATCCCAAGGCGAGGGATAGGGTGACGCGCCTGCTGGCCTCAGTCACCGAATCTCCGGGATTTCCGGGCCTAGCTTTGGGCACAAGCTGACAGGTGTAGCCCAAGGCGCCCTCGCCGCGCCCGGCCTCTGCCTCAGGCTCTCCCAGAATTCCCATCCTGGCTGAAGGATGAGAGCCCTGCCGGTTCCTTTCCCCGGGGTGGATGCGGCGCAAGGAACTTCGTCTGGCTGGGGCGGGGCCCAGTCGTGCATTTTGGATAATAACCGTTACAACTTAGCCTTCCCTTTATAATCAACCTCGATTTGGGGAGGGGTCGGTATCCAGAAGTGCCCCAGGTCACCGTTCACGGTCGAGGCGTGGCTCTCAGAATGGAGGCAGCAGGTGCCAGTTTTCTGAAAAGGTTTAAAATCTGTGTGTGGGACCTACTATGGGTAATTAGGGCCAAAGCATCTCAACATCTAGTTCTTTTGTCCTTTGCTGTTGCGTTAGGTGTATAGCCAGTTCTTCTGATTTGAGCCTCCGGGTGTGAGTGCTTTTGTGTGGATCTATTTTAAGACGTTCTCTGCCATCTTGAATGAAAAAAAAAATCAGGCTAGTGTTTTTGTTGCCATTTATCTATCAGACTCAGGTGAAAACTCACACCCCTGTTATAAGGCATATTGTATACTAAAGTCCATTCATCCAGCTAGGTTTTAAAAATTTTAAGAAAAGAAACGGCTCATTCCATACAGTCAAAGAACTAGGCAGTAAACGGCACAGGATGATAAATATGGAAATATGTAGATACTGTTATTGGAGGATTGATCTGGAAACCGCCCTCTGTTCTTGTGGCCTTGGAGAAGCTACACCCAGTAAATGATATTGGAGGTGGATCTGGAACTATGAATCTGTTTAGAAATATGGAAGGGAGAAAATGCATTACAGGGAAAGAGATCAGAGCATGCCAACTTTGAGAGGTGTGAAAGTATGTAGTGTTGATTTTTTCAGGGACTTCAGTGTGGAGTGTCACTATATAATGTGGTTTGATGTGGTTAGAATGGAGAAGTAATGGAAGATAGAGCCCTTTTACCAGAAGGATGAGTTTGGGTTTGAGGAGCTCAGCAGGAAAGAAAAGCGCCTGAGTTTTGGAAATGAGAGAAGAAATAATTGAATAACTGGACAGATACTCCTAAGGTAAAATTGAGGAAACAGTTACAAGAGTGAATGTGGAAGCTGAAGGAGAGACAAAAATCTATGTTGCTGAGATTGCTAGAGGAGGAGGACTGGGAAGATATATTTTTGCCCTATTATTTCCTTAGATATCTGAATATAATAGTAATACATGCTCAAAGAACATTTCACTGTAGAAAACAGTCCACAAAATTAAAATCATTCATTATGTTACCACCCAAAGATGGCCACTATTAACATTATAGTATGTGTCCTTACAGACTTTTTTCTTCTCAAATGTGTGTTTAAATGTATGTTTGATATTTTTAACACAAAAAAAAATCACATAGGATTTTGTATGTATTTTTCAATTAAATTTATCATGAGTCTTTTCCTATTCATCACTCTTTGAAAACATTATTAATAACATAATAGTCAATCATGTATATGTATCATAATGTAACCATTATCTCATTCTTGGATAATTATATTGTTTCAAAATACCATTGTAGTCAACACTGACTTAAGTCCATCTTATGCATCTAACTGCATCTCTGATTTTTCCTTAGAATAATTTCTTGAAGGGAAACTAGTGGGTCAAAAGATAGGAACTTTTTTAGGGGGGAGTATATAGCTTGGTGATACAGTGTATGCTTAATATCCATGAGGTTCTGGGTTCAATTCCCAGTACCTCCATTAAAATAAATAAATAAATAAACTTAATTACCCCCCAAGTTTTTTTAAAAGATATGAATGTTTTTTAAGACTTACGCAGAAAGGTTATACAAATTCAAGCTTCCCTGAGGAATAAGGGTATTATTTTCACCAAATCCTCAGCAACAACCTCATTCATTTCCTTTAATCTTTGCTAATTTGATAGGGAAAATAGTATTCTGCTGTTCTAATTTACATTTTGTGTATTTATTGGAGACTTTTAAATTTCTTTCTTGAACATTTCTTTTTGCCCATTTTCCTATTGGACGTTAGCTTCTTAAAAATTGGTTTACTTAAGTTTTTCATGTTACTCCGACTTATACTTGTAGAAATTTTTTTCAGTTATTTAATTTATTTCTTTTTGTTATATACATTAACTTTTATCACAGCATAAGATTGGTAAGAAATGTGCAGATTGATCAGTTTTCACATGTTGAATACACCCATGTAACCAGTACTCACATTAAGAAACTGAACATCACCAGCACATCAGAAGCTTCCTCCTACTCTGTTTCAGTCAATTCTTCCCACCCCAAAGGTAACCATTATTCATTCTTATGACTTAGATTCATTTTGTCTATTTTTACAGTTTACACACTGTGCAGTTCTATTTGTGTATGCTCTTTTTTGTTTGACTTTTTGCTCTCTGGTTTTGTTTTTTATATTCAGCCATATGGTCATGTGAGCATTTTTTATTTCTCTATAGTATTCCATGTGAATATATGACCATTTTTTTAACCCATTCTACTGTTAATTGTCTTTGGGTCTAACGGTTCCAGTTTGAGACTACTATGAATAGTGCTACTGTGAACTTTTCAGAATATGTGTCTTATTGAACATATTCCTGTTGGCTGTATACTTAGAAGTGGAATTGCTGAGTCACAGGAAATGTATATGTTCACCTTATGTAGATATTGCCAAACATTATTCCAACACAGTTTTACCAATTTATACTTCCACCAGCAGTATAGGAGAGGTCCAGTTGCTCTACTGCCTCACCAACACTTGCTAATTTCAGCCTTTTTTTTTTAAACCATTCTGGTAGGTGTGTCCTGGTATCTCCTTTTGGCTAATTTGCATTTCCCTAATAAGGAAATAGACAGTCTTTTTATATGTCAAAGGACCAGTTGTATATCCACTTTATTCAAGTTTTTTGCATATTTTTATTTCAAGTTATCTCTTACTACATATTTGAAGGTGTTTGTTACATATACCAGCTATAAGTCCTTTGTTGGGTATCTCTACCTCAAATATCTGGACTTGTGAGATGTGTGGCACCCTCTCAATTGTTAGTGTCTTTCAATGAACAGAAGCTATTAGCTGTATTCACTCCAAGTAAACTTTTTTCTTTTATGGTTAGCACCTTTAAAGAAATACTTGCCTATTCTAAGGTCACAAAAATCTTTATTTTACCTTTTGCTTTTAGATCTGCCATTGATCTGGAACTGATTTTTGTATGGTATCAAGTAAGATCATATTTTTTTTCCCACATGGATGTCTACATAACCTGGTATTTTCTGAACAGGCCATCCTTTCCTCCCTGAACTACAATATAGCCTTTGTCATAGTTCAGGATATCTTGTATGTGTGGCTCCATTTCTGGATGTTTTCTTTTCCATTGGTCAATTTGACCATCCTTGTAGCAACACCACCTTACTTTAATTACTATAACTTTATAATAGATCTTAGTATCTGATAGGATAAAACCCTTTATTTTCCTTCAAGATTGCTTTGGCTATTCTTAGCCCTTTGTATTTCTAAGTGAATTTTAGAATAAGCCTGTCATTTTCACTTAAGAAGAAGGAAACTTTCAAGATTTGATTTGGATTACTTTGAATCTATAATTAATTTGGGGAGACGTGTCATCCTTACAATACTGAATCCTCCAAACCTTGAGCATTTTTATTGCTTGCCATCTGAATGAGTCGAGCAGTTTCCCACCACTTTCTGTGCTCTAGGACTGATTTTACAAACTGGGAATACAGAGGAAGGAAAAATTTTCCCTGCACCCTTCTCAGTTCTTAGTTGAGACCCCTGTAATAAAAGATAGATTGACAAGAAGAAAACAAACAAAAGTTTAACATTAAAAAACAAAATTCAGGGGGAAGGCATAGCTCAAGTAGTAAAGTGCATGCTTAGCATGCATGAGATCCTGGGTTCAATCGCCGGCACCTCCTCTAAAAATAAGTAAATAAATAGGCCTCCCTCTCCCCCCTCCCAGAAAACAGACATTACCTGTGTAATTGATGCTGAGATTTGCAGCAGAGAAAATATTTATTCACAGAGCAGCCAAGGGAGAAGAACAAATTTCAAATCCACCCTCTTGAAGGTGGGATATTTATGGGATAAAGGAGCAAGGTGCTCTTAGGTGCCGGGAAGGGTAATTGGAGGTAGGGAGAAGGTGAGATAATCAGTGTTCTGTGCAGGCATATCTGGATTACATGCTTCTTCATAGGATGCATATTCAAAAAATGGAGGCCCTTAGCATGATCTGGGTGGGGGTGGGAGGTTGGCCATCTGACATCAAAAGATCCTTCATCCAATACTTGAGCAGGCCCAGTTTTAGGATTGGTGGTCCCAACCAATCTTAGCCAGCTAGAACTGGACAAGAGCTGATTCTAAGTTCCTAAAAACCAACTTAAGCCCCTACCCCATTACTACAGTGTCCCACACATCAAAGGTGTTATCTGTGTGGTGGTTAAGGAGTCTCGTGACATATTACCTAGACTACATGAAGCTTGGAGTGTATACAATTAAAGTGAGGGGGGAAAATAAACTAAAGCAAAGCAAGCTTGATCAGTTTACAGGCAGAGAGGTTTTAACAAGCCGTTCCCGTTTCGGTTGTTCTCTAAGACAAGCTCAAGAATGTTAGTTGTCAGTTTCTGTTAACCCTATGAGGTATGATTTCATCTCAGGGGATGGTAGAAGATGAAGGACCCAATACTGAGAGATCATGTGGAGGACGGGGGACTCTCTTACTAATCTAACATAGCAGGGTTCTTAGTAAAACTAGATTTTGCAAGGAAATGCACAGATAGGCTTAGGAGAAATTTCAG